GTACGTTATTAGCGCTCCTTGTGAAAGAGTTCGTCCAGGGAAGTACTTCTGCCGCCAAGCACTAATGTGATCTGCGTTCCGGTTTCCAAGGGTAAGGGTGCTGGTGAAATCACAGGCACATGGGACTTGTAACTTATATCTCAAGGTGTCGAGCGCAGTGACAGTGCCAGTCCAGTCACTTAAAACGTTTTCGGCAAATACATCGTAAGAATTGAATTTAGCGTAATTGTTAGTCTAATTTATTGATTGTTAGTCTAAACCTGATAAACAAAAGCAAGTTTAGTGTACTCCAAATTTTTATAAGACTTTGTTTGTTCTTCCTAAAGCTCAAAACATTTGAATGAAAACGAAAGCATGTTCCCGCTGAGATTCTGCCGTCTACTAACTAAAACGCTGCTAACTGGTGGTACGCGGTTAAGTAACAAATGGTCCAATAACCGTTTTAGAGTTAACGTGTTCGACTGTATCGGAACTTTACCTAACGATGCCTAGCTGAAATATCATTCAATAATTTCAATATTCTAAAACTGAGTTATGGTTCTTTATGATATCTCAATAAAATAGTTTTTTCACTTAGCCGTGTTTTTGTTAGCGTGTTTCTTCATGTTACATTGTAAATTGATTTTACGTATGAAATAAATTTAATAAAAACGTCTTCCGTTCTACAAACTGACAATTCTAATATTCCTTCAACTAAATCTTCACAGTGCCTACCTTAAAACACAATTTCATTAATGACACTGCCGCGTAGCTCCTCAAATGGTTCTTGGAAAAGTTGTATCGTAAAATATCAATAGTTACGTGCTCCCTCAATCACAATGTGATAGGTATATAATGGGGCTTGGTACGACCTTGTAATTCTATCAGATGGGCACGTTAACTAATAGGTATTGTTGTCATGTAAATAAAGGTTTTGAGAGTTGTTTTTGTGCGATACCCAGACTCCAGGTATTTTTGCGCAAGTTACAAAACAGTTTGACGTTGAATTGTACATTATACAAAAACAGCTTGGTTAGTGTATTTAAATTACTAATTTAGCATTCGCATCGTAATAAATAATATTCGAAAATTTAAAGACGAGATTTAAAGACGAAGTATAATGTATTTAAGAGTACTTGTTTCGGACGGAGGCGAGTAGACACCCAGGTTCGGAAGCACTGAGTTACATTGTTGCTGCTCGATTATTATACACCGATGAGCGAATACAGGCGGGCTAGAAAATCTATTGGAAAATTACTGCGCGTGCACCGCGGCCGTGCCATCCGCTATGCGAATGCGCGGGAGCGTTACGTAACTCCGTGTAGGGTTGCTATGCAATAGTGTTTTTAGCTTCAGACTTCAAATTTCAATCTGACTATCACTACGGAAAATACGTAGTTCCTTAGAGTAGTATCAAGAAACTTTATGACTATAGCGATCTTTTAAACTACCAGCGAAATGTGGAAATTGCTTGATCAGCATTAGGGTAACGAATTTATTTTTTCCGAAATAACTTCTGTTCGAATTTTCATTACCCCGAAAACCGAATTATAACGAAACCGTTGTTTTTTCAGGATATGTTGGATGTTTATCGCAAAGACACGATTAGGTTCGCTTAGGTTAGGTTTAGTTAGGTTTAAAAGAAAAAACATTTTCGCCTCAAAATTACTTTCGAGGTTATGAAAATTCGAGCAAACGTTGTTTCTGGAAAATGTCATTTCGGACTATCGTAACGATAATTCGGAATATTTAACCCAGCATTAGTTATATATAAGAGGTATTACCAAATTAGTAGTTATTTTAACAATTTCAGTCGAATTTTTTTGACGAAATCTGGAAATATTTTTAACTATGTTCCACGAACACGTAAGGTCACTTTTATGACCCACAACTTTTCTTATGCCGTTGTGGGTCATAAATTCTCTAACTAAATTACGCATAATTTATGCGACATCGCAAATGTTCACCTAATATGTTTATCCGTTGCTATACTTATTACACTTACCGTTAAACGTATTATAATCTCTAATAATTACACACACTAAATACGGATTATTATTATTAATAAACTCTCATCGCGCTATCGTTACTCGAAACCCAACGCGTTATATTCTAACGATTATGTGATGGTTAAAACAGATAAAGGAAATTGAAATACATAGAATTAATGAATTAGCATACTGTAGGGATATAAATGGAGGCGCATATCGGTGTAATGACAAAATTGGATAGGTTTCGTATTAACAATCAGAATGAGTTTTAGGAACGTGCCTCAGTGAGTCATCTAAAGAAAATTCGTTTAGATGGCTCACTGAGGTGTACACAGATGCTAGCTTCGCCAATACGATCGTTTGCATAAAAAGCAATGAACCTCTGCCTAACCTTCGATAAGGGTACACAATGACTATTAAACGTAAAGAATTTAAGGGCAAACAACGAGCAGGTAACGTAGCTTATCGGGCCAAAATTCTCTACCGAATCACGATAGCGTTTTAGACTACTCGACAATTTCAACACGATCCCTGAATTGGTACGCTTACAAAAAGTTTACGTTGCAGCAGGTAGCGGCCTGGGCGGGTCAAGGGTCTCGGTACAATGGTTAAACTAACCCCCGCTGTTTTAAAACCGTTCGCTTGGGTAATTCGGGTGGCGAGCGTGATAAACCGGGCGAGTTGCTGCCGAAATTCGAGGGTGTGTATGAGCTGCCATGTTGTTTACACTACTTAATAATGAAGGATCCAAAATACAGTTCCGAACTAATGCAGATTACGAATTAATTCATGGGTGGCTTGACGTGGTAAAGGTTTTGAAGGCAAAACAAGTAATCAACGTTAGTTTGTCGACGCTTGTCCCTGAGCTGCAAATTGCTGAGACTGGTATTAGAACTGACGAGTCTGTCAATAGATAGACTTGATTATTAATAATCGGCGTCTGGAGGTCTTCCAACTTGTCGTGGTGAATGTGCACCGACCCAACGGCGCCGACTCAACCGGCGGGAGGTAAACCCGGGGGGGTGTCAAAAAAAAGGTCTTCCAACTTAGACTACGCCAAGCAATTTTCACAACCAAATTCTAAGTAGATTTAGTCTAGCGTCACAATGGCGAGTCAGCAATTTCTCACGCCAAGGACAGATTCGATAAAGGGTGGCTGCCTTGTCAAATTCACAAAGCTCAATTTTGTTTGTAGATCCGATCGAGCCAGTCCCCGCGACTCCCTACACTTGCTTTGTGCCACAAACTACATTACCGCTAACATCTTTTCAATTTCGAGATAAAGTAAATGCTTCCATATCAGTTGAATAATCTCTCATGCGTTAGATAAAAACCTCTTGAGAGAAAACGGTTCATATGCAAAGAGCCTTTATACGATGTTAGTGTCCATCAATCACAGCTTGGCGTAGAATTCAAAGAAATTCTTACAAGAAAACTCCTTCAGAGTTGATGTGAAAAATATCGCGACAGGGGGATGTTTCGACCAGTTTAATTCCCGATGCCGGCGAATTCTCAGCGATGCGTTACAATGGCGTTTTTACGTCGAAGATCGATAACGCAAAGCTATTTAGTTAGATCGATTAACTTTCATATCGCATGTTTTAATAAATCTGATATCAATATATCACCACCGAATATGTCAACGCATACTTTGTAACATAACCACGGAGCATTCTTTTGTTTCTATAAGATCCGAATTAGGCATCAGACAGTGGCAAAGGCCATATTTTATGGCTTAATTAGTTTCAAATTAATGTAATCGACTAATCGTGTTGTTCTGTTTCGAGCTGTCTAACCAAATGAGCCAGATTATATTACATTAACTAAATAGCGCTATTCATTGCATGGCCATGGATGTCCCTTTGAAATACAATACGTACGGCATTTATAAGGTAACACAAGTCGATGTACCTTCGATTTATATGCTATTAATTTTATTAGTATTTACATTACATTACAATTGACAATAATAAAACCTATTAAAAAGGATTAGAATGATAAGTCGTACATAAACACGAAATAATGATAATAAACAGTACAGCGTACTGCGTAAGCGAAGTGAAGGTTTGGAATAAAGAAACTATTTTAGAAGAGACATCCTACAATAAACCCACCCCTTAAAGGAAACTGGAGTTAGGGGAAATTGAGGAAACCACTTGGCGAAATAAGGATTCTCCGAAAATGGGAACCTCCACGACGAAGCGTGTATGTATCCGAGTGAACGGAGTTAAAGGAAATTGTCTTTATGCGGCTTCTTTTTTAGCCGTTCTTTCTAAAAATGTCAACCAAATTCCTGTTGTGTATAATTCTTACATATCCATAGCGTAGCGAGAGATTATTCATGGTCGCTGTGGAGACAGGCGTGATGTTTGTTTATCTTTTCCGATACAGAATATTTCTTTTCCGTTTTATTGAGTTTATGTTTTCATATTGCGTGGAATAGTTGCCAGTTGTAGGGTTGCCTACAATCAATGCATAAAAGGGTCCCCTAACCCTACGAGAAATGCAGATGCCACGCATTCCTCGCCCATCCAATTATCGACGTAAAAAACTGTACCGAAAATCGAGTAAAAATGTTTTCTGTCGCTATGACGATCGGAGAGTGCGACTCTACACGTGCGCCGTGTTTTATTGCCGTCGACTGCACCTAAATAGCGAAAACAATCTAAAATTGCTGTGTGAAACGAGAATAACTGCCTACTTAGTTACCGGTTTTAGAGCTCGTTCGACACGTACGCACGGAAACGAATTGCCGAGATAGACAAACCTAGTCGTAGGGAGAACCAGCCCTGATTGTAGACGGAGGAAGACCAGGCGATCCCGGAGCCATGACGTAACCCACGCGTAAGTCAACGAGGCTGCCAAATGGGTTAGCGTCACCGACCCCACCCGCGCCGCCTGCTCTCTGACCGTCAACTGCATCGTACCGGCACTCTACTATTCTAAACGCCTGGACGCTGTCAAGGTCAGCGCGCCACGCGTAACTCACGCCGCACCGATCTACACCGAATTAACCAGAATGCAACTCACCTGTTCTTTTCCAACTCGTTATGAGTCGTCCTGGAACAAAAAGCAGAACATGTAGCACTGATTTCACGCACTTAACACGTATCGGATTCACTGCACTGTGCACTGGCACTGTACCGGTGGACCGGCATTCTCACTCAACTCACCTACTGCCCTGCGATTTCTTGGTCTTCGGCCGCCTGCCTCCCGAGCGGCCCTCTTCATACACCGGTAAACTCGACGCGTATCCGTGCTCCGCCTCTGCAACAAATAACACTGCCATTCCGTCAAAATCAGCTGATTACGGCACGGCAAAAATAGACGGGAGCCATGTTGACGTGTGCGAATAGTGCACTCGATTGTCAATTCAAACAAAGAAAATCCAATTCACCTCTATCGCGCCTTTCGATGAATTCAGCGGCTTGGATCAGAGCAGCAATACTCATATTTAACGTATCCCGGGTTTGCACACGTATCACGAACAACACACGACTCGATTCGATTAAAACTATAAATAAAAAGTATGTTTGCCCGCTCCGAAGTTCACGACTGCGTTTACCGATGTCAAAAACACACTAGCGAACGAGTCGGGGACGAGCCATGGAGCGGATCGCGGTGCGAGAGCGAGTGCGCGATCGCGCGCTCTCGGCGGCGTTCGGCCGCGCCCGCCGCGGCCGGCCAATCGCGCCGCGCCGGGCGCAGGCGAATACCTGGGTCAATCACGTGAACTTTGTGTTTCCAAACAAAACATTTTTTCTATGCGTTCTATTGTAGTGGAGCACTGGGATACTCAACGACTTGTTTTTTAACTTTAAAATGTAAATACGTGGACATAGCGATTGAACATTCACTTTCGGTTGCTATAATAAATAATGTTTTTAATGTTCGTTTTTAGCTTCTTCTACAGATAAAAATTTCGTTTCATTTTATATCCCCTTGAAACTCTTATTGGCACTCTAATTAGAATATAAATCACGATTGAAAATGTCAAAACGACAACAAACGGCAGAAATGATGCGGAGTATATTTACAGTCCAATAAAAGATGTTGGTTACATCTGAGATACACTTTTAATACTCAATATCCTCAGACATGTCTTTAAAGTATCATTTAGCACTTTCAACATATGGATTCGAGCAAACATCACTGGCAGGAGGTGCTTCCTTTGCTCCTAAAAAGAAAAAAAATGGCTGTACACTTACCACAAAAAAAAGAAAATAATTCTCTCTCTTGTATATGTAACTAAATACGCTTAATTTCTTTTGTGACAAAATATAATTATAATGCTGTAATTGGGATAATCTTAATGTTACGTTCTCTATATCTATAGAGAATATAATAATAAAATAATAATAAATATTTATCATTTACATAGTTCTTATTTCAAATAGTAGATAATAATTTTGACAATAAAATGTAAATGAAACTCATTAATACTCACTGTCAAAACTCTGATTTTCCTATAATACTGACTAAATACTCTGACCATAGAGCAGAGGAAACCGCAAATCAGATGAGGCCGAAATTCGTAATGTTTATCTGCGCCCACACAATTTGTTAACAGTGAAGGTAGACCAAGTACGTAATTGAATATTAACGCCCATTCATCCTGAAAATAACACAGACATTAATAACTTTACAATGCTTAGTCAAAGATGAAATGCTCTAAATATTGTGCTAAAAGAATTTTTGGTGCTCTAAATATAGGTCTGCATGAAACGGCTATGATTGGTAACAGTCCTGCGTAAAGGTATGCCAGGAATTCTAATGCAGAAAGCAGATATAGTAATTGCAATAATTCAACAATCAAGTTAACTTCTGCAAACTATAATGGTGCTTATGGGCACCTTTGGGGACCTTTTTTTTAAACCTTTTAAATTTTGTAACATTGCAAAGGTTCAACCCATATAGGCCTCACATTTCAGGAAACCTAGCTTAGATTATTCATATTAAGGAAACAGATTCTTTAATAATTTACCTCCTGTGTTAATAAGCTGAAGTCAATTTCTGTGAAATCAGGTAAAGGTGGATAAATGCCTTCTTCTACCTTGGTATTAAATGTTCGTACTATTGTTTCCAGTCTCGCACAGTTGTACAGGATAAAAGCTGCACCTTAAATCAGAATATTAAATGTGAATGCTGAGACTGCCATAGGTGGTAATTGGAGATGGAATATTGTAACATACAAAGATAATTTTGAACTGTGTATGCAAACTGTTAGAGATCCAGTTTTCAATGCAATTACTATTACATTCCAAGAGCTTAAGTTTCATATATTGATGCCTTACTTTCTCAAACTCATTTCTTATAAAAAGTCATTATTCTGGAGATGGCAAAACTTTCTATTTACTTATATTTCTTATCAATGGTGTTAATTTGGATGCATTACTTTAAAAACAGATAAAAGCCAGTACGCGAATATGAAGGAAATGTGCTGAGAAATCAGTCTGCGAAATTTGTATACTCAATCCATTTTTTGCATTTCAGTTACTTTGTGATTTATGATACGAGTTTGAGATAGTAAGGCGACGATATTCCAAACCCAAATAATCACTGTCATAACAATACAAAGCTATAGAAGAAACAATACATGTAAAGTATTTTTTTGATGATTTCTATGTAATGTTAATGAAGCAATATTTATACCAGTTTCAAAAAGGATGAGGTTCTAATTCTGCTGTATTTTTTCGTGTACATGTTACGAGATTACACCAACATTATTATAAATCAATTTTTTCGGATCTGAGTTGCTTATAATATATGTTTTGACTCAGGTGTGACCATAGGACCTTTAGAACCTGAAATGTTAGTTGGTTAAATATAAAAAAAATACACGCGAATTGGATCCGAAAACATTGTTTAATTCCTAATTTTGGTACTTTTATTAATAGTTTAAATCATCTTCATATAAAAAAGTAAACATTAAAAAAAAATTTAAAAATTATCTTAAAAATTGAATGTTAATTAAAGGATTGAAGGATTGTACTATTTCATGAAAAGGTTAATGTCTAAACAAACGCAAACTAAACTGTCTTATATGGCTTAGGTTGCTGTTTTTATCACCAAATTTTATTTCTGTATTATCTCAATGATATTGAGATTATTATAACCTTAAATAAAGTCAGGTCAAAAGTAACAAATAAACTAGAAAGTAGTAAAGATTGATGCAAATCGACATACTCAGATACTACTATGTCTGTAGGACTAGCACGATAGGGCGCGACTTGCGCGAGAGCGACATAAAGCGCGAGATACTATACTGTTCTCACATAGACATCTCGCGCTTTGTCATGCTAGCCCTACTGGTATGTAGAAGATGTCAGTAATCTCTGCTTACCTCATTAGGAGATAACATGCATTTGTATGTGTATTTTATTTTCAATATCTAATGAGTATGATTAAAACACCACAAAAAAGCAAGCAATAAATGTGTAAAAATTGATGTAAAAAATTTAATTGCCTCATTATAGCCCCTAAAAGCAACTTGGCAGCCTGTGCTTACCTCTACTAGACCCAGCAGAAGAACAATCGAAATTAATTTTCACCGCAATGCTGGGTTTGGCTTGTAACAGCTCAAATATAACAGCGGATTCACCTAAATGCGCTATGAACTCCTTCCACTTTGAATCTGTAGCCACTCGGACTCCGTATTTGTGTTGCGCTATTAATGCCATTTCTTGTTGTCTTATCCTGTAAATAAATAAGAAGGTGTGGGTTAACAGTTAACACCTACAATGTCAATTAACATCATGCGCATTATTAAGAATGGATGTAACTTTGCCAGTTGTGCATCCTCCTAAAATACATGAGTCCTTGACAATTTTGGTAAGATTTTTTTAATGGTGGATGGGCTCTGACAAAAATGTATGTGACCGTATGACTGGTTAAATTAAGAAAAACTTTGTTTACATAATTCTATTCACAATTTCAAGTGTTATTTTGTAATGTAAACAATTTAATTTTTAACTTACATCCATTAGCATTGTGTTTAACTTTAAAATATACAGTGTTAGAATGTTGTTAAAAATTTCTGAATCAACACCCCGAGTGTCAACGTATTTAGCATTCACCATTAAATATTTAATATCTTTTTTTTGATATAGGAAGATGATTTAAAATTGGTAGGAGGCCCATTTTGACAATGACAGATACGGGTCAGGGAAAACTGGAAGTCTCTGAAGGAAGCCTATGTCAAAAGACAAGCTGATGATGTGAATGTAATTTAATTATAGGTAAATGTAGAATGCAGATTTATTTTTAATTAATTAGTCTTAAAATTATTTAGTTATTAATTTTAATTGGAAGTTTGTTTATTATTTTAGTATTAATCTAAGTTTAAGATATTTTTATATTTTTTAATAATGAATTGTATTTTCTACTAATGAATTATATTGTAACATTTGAATTGTAACAGCAATAAAAGCTATTGTTATTATTATTTAATCATTTTCTTTTTTTAATAATGCACACATCATAGCTCCGCACCAAGGAAACCCTGTATTGTCAGTGCCAAAAATATAATACATAACACCACGACTCTGTAGCCTTACAGTTTCCACTGTAGGGGCTAGATGAGAACATCCCTGACAGTAGATCTAATTTAAGAAATTAACTTTTTTTAATTGTCAGGTCTGAGTAGTGATCTGAAGGGAGTTCCTGTGGGAACACAGCATGGAGACCTTCAAAAAGGATTTGAGAAGGGTCCTAAAGGGATTGCAATGCACTCGTAGCGCCCCTGGTGTTGCAAGCAACAGTGACCGCTTTACATTGGGCGGGCTGTTTGCTTGTTTGCTGCCTACTTCATATAAAAAAAAGTTTCTTTGCACCGGTACTCACAGTAAAGAGATCCTAGTTTCAAACCTGACAATAGGTGTAATTCTCTACCACATTATACTACCCTAAACACAGATAGATTACTATAAGTACAAACTTTGTATATTACAATGCACTGTAACAAACCAACTCTCATGTATACCTTATAAAATCATCAGCATTAATTTGAGTTTCCTTGACACCAGTTTTGGCATTTAAGACTGTTCCACACAAAATAATTTTACTCCCATCGCTTCTACTTGACGATTTTGCAGTAACAAACACTTTTGGCGCCTTTTCATTGCACTCTCTACATAATGCATGTAAATTTTGTATTGATTTACTGAGATATTTAAGACGTAGAGAAGTAATGCAGCTCATATCGTCACATAGAGGGTCGCATACCACTGGAGACGTGTTCTTTTGCATTTTAAGCGATATTAAATCGATGTTTTTTGTTGCTTCTAGGAGTCCAATCTGTATAGCTTTCGGGCGAAACAAAAACATATGTACACGAGCTTTGTGTTCGGTCGCTCTCTGGATTTGCAATGACCATTTTGCCGATTCTTCAACTAAGTTCTCCAGAGTTTTTCCGATGTATTTCATTAAAACCTGCTCCGTGCTTGACACTTGTTCCAAATTCAAAAAATCATGCCATGATTTCACCGTATTCGGAAAACTGAAATCCCCTGCCGTGTTAAGATTTTCTGTGTGCTTTTTCACTAACAAAGTCTTCCAACACTTACTTTCTCCAGTAACGAACTGGAATACGTCCTCAGAAAACCTTTCCAAAGCGTTTTCTAACATTTTTTACTTATTCACTTTTTTTAAACACAATTCAATTCGTGCAAAACTTGAAAGTGGAAAATAAAAAACACATGGAGCTGTCTGCCATGCCAATCCTGTCATTTGCTGACGTTAAATTCTTTTTTTTTAATTTGTTTATTGGTTTTGGACGACATCAAAGACATCAACCTAAATTAATTTAAAATTTTATAAATAAAATACAAATCACACCTATGATGGAAAGACTTGTTTTTTTAGTTAGCTAAAAAGCACTTACAAAACAAAATATAAAGTAATTAATTGAAGTAACGAAGAAACATTTTATGTTATCCAAACGTATGAATTACTTAAAATTCTTCCAAATTGTCTACAGAAAACAAGCTCGTTTCATGGAAAGAATAAATGGAAAGCCAAACGGCTAGCGGCTATTGTCATTTAGAGCGGGTTAATGGTTCATCAAAATACTGGACGGTAATGTAACAATAATAATAATGTGATATCACCGTGGTCGATAACAATATAAAAACGCAGTGTACTAATAAATTGATCAAATTGTAAGTTACGTCCAAATTCATATTAGCAGTTCTATAAAGCACTGAATTTGACGAGCATGTTTTCAATGAGTGACTCAGGGCCGTATTCTAGAACTCTACTCAATGCTCAAGTCAGGATTTGAGTATAGTTAAAAGCACTCGAAATCATACTCAAGTACCTGCCATTAGGGTCGTATTTCCAGTGTTTGTGTTTCCATTGCAATCCTGACTTGAGCATGGAGTAGTGTTCTAGAATACGACCCTAAGGGTCGTACTCCAGAACTCTACTCAATGCTCAAGTCAGGATTTGAGCAGACTTGAGTATGATTTCAAGCACTGGAAATACGACCCTAATGGCAAGGACTTGAGTATGATTTTCAGTGATCACTGCAATACTCAAGTCCTGACTTGAGTATTGAGTACAGTTCTAGAATACGACCCTAAGGCTCGTATTTCAGAACTTTACTCAATGCTTAAGTCAGGATTTGAGTATGATTTCAAGCACTGGAAATACGACCCTAATGGCAAGGACTTGAGTATGATTCCTAGTGTTTTAAATCATACTCAAGTCCTGACTTGAACATTGAGTAAAGTTCTGGAATACGACTCTAGTGGTCGTATTCCAGAACTCTACTCATCGACCCTAATGGTCGTATTTCAAAACTCTACTCAATGCTCAAGACAGGGCTTGAGTATGATTTCAAGCACTGGAAATACGACCCTAATGGCAGGGACTTAAGTGTGATTTCTAGTGCTTTAAATCATACTCAAGTCCTGACTTGAGCATTGAGTAGAGTTCTGGAATACGACCCTGAGTTAGCTAATGTATCGACCGATAGCGATATTTTGAGTATTCTGACACTTAATGTCTAAAACGTGATTACGTAAATATTTGTTCTGTCCATTCCTTACCTGCATGGCAGTCCGCCGCGCAGGCAGGAGATTGCTCACACACTATCTTGTATAAGGTCCACGTATGAAGTCTCGCAGGCGCAGGACGCATTGCAGGATTGCAGAATGGTTTGCACGCTGCGACTACTCGTACTTTCATAATCCTACATTACGCGGCGGACAGCGGCTGGGTGAACTGCAATGCAGGATAATGAATACAAAAATTCCATTTTGAAAAATTCATATTTTTCAGAAAAATATATCGTCGCTCGGCTAAAGCGAACCTCGTATCCTCCATTGATGTGATTCTAACATGGACGACCGCCGCGCAGGCAGGAGACTGCTCGCACACTATCCTGCGTATGGCCCACGTATGGAGTCTCGCAAGACGCATTGCAGGATTGCAGGATGGCTTGCACGCTGCGACTACATATAATCCTGCATTACGCGGCAGACGGCAAGGCGGACTGCAATGCAGGATAATGAATGCCACATGTCATTATCCTACATTGCAGTAGAACGTTATATGAGCCTTCTGGAAGATACACTTCAAATTATATTTTATCAATTTTTTACAAATTTTAAATCATTTGAAATTTTAAATTATCTCATTATTTGAAAATTTTCGGAAAAATTACAATAGGTAGCCTAGAGATTTAATAGTTACTCTAAATTTCTTACTATTTAGTGTTTCGACTGCGTGCATTATCTGCAGACGAGCATGAGGTGGGCAGTCCATTTATTAACAACTTAAAATCATTTTCTAAATGAGATGCTAGTTCAACTGAGACTAGTTTCCCATCCTCTAAATAATTCAAAATATTATTTTATGATTCCAGGGTCCGAACATTTCTCAATAAAACCTAAATCATTGATTAAAATGACGAAACTAAAGTCTGAATGGAATCAATAAGAATAAGGCGTTGAATAAGGTGATGATAAAATATCCACACTGCTAATCCCAATAAATAAAAAAAGAGTGCGATTTATTGTATTTATTTATCCTGATAATTCTAATTTTAAACTAAAGACTTTACACGGCCTGAAATAATGAAGACTTAAACTGAAGGATCTTACACTAAAGACTTAAATCGAAACATATTTATTGAAGAAAAATAGAAACTAATGACTAGGCTGTATGGTCTCTGACATTCGCCTGTCCCATACGGAACGAATGATAAAAAAATGTAGGTCGTCGCGAAATGTGTGTGACGTTGACATTTCAGTATCTAAGTAATGTCAAAATTACCTACTCGTTGGTAGACGTAGCGAGTCCCAAATAGATTTACTTTTAAATATATTGTGGCTAGTCACAATTTTATTGCATTTAATAACTTATGTTATGATCAAAATTGAATATGTTCTTTAATCATTACGTTTACAAAACTGTACTGATAGCAGTAACATGGCAATTTATCGTGGTTTCTGGAGCCGATCACCTTCTCGACGGTATTTACTGTGGAAAGGAAAACTGTTACGAGGTGCTGGAAGTAACGAGAGACGCGGTGAAGAATGAAATTGCGAGGAATTATAGAAGGCTAGCGAAAAAGTACCATCCAGATTTACATAAAGGCGAGGAAGCAAAAAAAGAAGCTGAAGAACAGTTTAAAAAAATCGCGACTGCTTACGAGATACTACGAGATGAAGAAGAAAGGTCTGATTATGACTACATGCTTGACAATCCTCAAGAGTATTACGCTCATTACTACAGATACTATAGGCGGCGGATGGCACCAAAAGTAGACGTTCGAATAGTCATAGCCGTAACTATTACAATCATATCCTTGGTCCAATATTACAGTGCATGGTCTAAATACGACACGGCGATAAAATACTTTATGACAGTGCCAAAATATAGGAATAAAGCTCTAGAAATAGCTAAAGTTGAAATAAAGGACTCCCAATCAAGAAAGGGAGGTAGGAAATCCAAAACAGAATTAAAGGAAGAACAAGATCGTATAATTCGGAGAGTTATTGAAGAAAACATGGATATTAAAGGTGCATATGCAAAACCTGAAATTACTGACATACTATGGGTTCAGTTAATAATTTTACCATACACAATTGCTTGTTATATTTATTGGTATTTGCGGTGGTTTTGGAAATTTACAATTATGAATCAACCATATGGGGAAGAGGAGAAGTTGTATTTAATTAGGAAATACATGAAGCTAGGACAGCATCAGTTCAATGCTTTGGATGAAACAGAAAAACAGGAGTATCTAGAAGAAGAATTATGGGTTAAGGAGAATTATGTAGTTTGGAAGGAAATAAAGGATGAAGAAGCTAAGAAAGCTTTAGCAGATAATAATAAATACAAACAATATAGAAGATATATAAAAAGCCATGGTGTTGGACGAATGACATTTGATGATTCATGATAGTGTAAGAGACACGTAACTTATCTATTGTTCTAAAATATGTATAAATCAAATTGGAAATTGAAGTCTGCTGCAAATATTGCAATTTTGTTATATATTTATTGAAAGAGATTTTTATTTCATGTTTCACCAAATACCAAAAATTTTTCACAAAAATAAAACCAGATTTTACACAAGTTGTTACTTTTATTTGCTTTAAAATCTATCATCAACATGTACTACATTTATTTGTTATGGCTACCTATTACGTTCATTATCATAATTTACAATCATCACAAATGGCAATTCATAAGGCAAATATAGGGTAATTTTTTATCAGGGACTGGTTGCAAACACAATGCAACAATCTCACTTAGATATGAGTCAATAATAAAAAATTACCCTGCACAATCAACACTCAATCAGGTGCTCTATACAACATACAAGGCAAGTAAAACCGTACTCAGCTATATTTGTCTTGAGACTTGGCTAAGAAAATCAAATAATGGCACATTACGTATTGCACACATAACAATGAAAAAAAAAAAAACATTTAAACATTTCATTATTCTAACAATCCTGCGAAATAAACATACAGATTGTTATAAACTTAAATTGTATGCACAGCACCAAGACAAATCAAGCTGCTACGATTGTTAATCATTAATAATAGTTTTTGAGATCCTTAATTACAACTTATGTGTCAAGCTCATGAAAATAAAATGAGTTTTTTAAAAATCTTTATGCAATATTCTTATGCATTGGCAGTGCATCTCTGATATATTTCTCCTAGACTATTGTCAAAGAGCCATTATGATATAGTTTTGGAATGTTACATCTTTTACAACCCCATGAAAAAGAAGGGTGTTTAATGACATAGATTCTATTATCAATCATTAACATCAAAACATACATTCTGTTACTTTTACACATTTATAAGAATAACCAACTCCTATTATTATAATTTTAAAATTATTTCGGGAGCTTGTATACTTTTTAACATTTAAAATATGGGGACTATGTATGATATATTGTGCACTTTCTTTAATATGTCTAATTATAATTTGTTCAGAGAATATGTAATAGTAATTCTGTAAGTACAGTTTTGTTTACAGGTAATATGCTTGTAACTGACAAGCTTCTTACCTGTACAATTATAATACTTAAAACCATTTTTTGGACAATTCGAGTATCGGACAGCTATGATATGAATTACGTTATTCCATATACTTCAAGTTAGTCATCTGCCTGCAGATTCGTTATGTACCTATACTAAACTAGTTCATCTTTTTAAAAAATAATACCTTCCCTTCGATCTCGTATATATAACAAAGTGACAAAACCATTTTAATCATAGGATTTTTATTGCCAAGACCTTACAAGTTTTTTAATATACATAAATCAATGTAATACCTATAAGTCTTCCATAAGTACCTACAGCTCCAAGTCTTCTGAGATATTACCTATTAAATCATACTTATTCAATTCCGAAGTACACAAGTCTGCTGTAGAGATTATTGTTAAAGGTGGGAAAAGTATATGTTCACAGTCATTACTTCACAAGCAAAATAACTTATGATATAACATCTATAATCTCTTAACAATAGTTTAAAATCTTTCATATAACTTCACGTAGTAAACTTGCTAGGTTCCTACAATTAGAAATTCCCCTACCATGAGTTTACTGCAACAGTTGTCGCTAGCGATCGCATAAAACATTTTATGCTATAAGTTATTCTTTTAACAACTAGAGGCGCTGTTTGCAATAAAAATTGTGAAGTAGGTATTTCACGCGGTTGTTAGCAAAAACTGTCATTGTAAATTCATGGTTTGGGCAATTGGGCAATAAACCTGGAAATACGAAAGCAGAAATGAGACAAAAAGTAGTCGGTCGCCTGCAATAAAATGTTTACATAAAGCGAAAGTATAAACCGATTTTCACACGTAATATTTATTGAAATATTGATTGACATGAATTATTGATTGATATTAAATAATTTACGCGAATAATAGCCCACAAATAGGTAAATCAAAATTCAAGAAACAATTACTGATTTTTATAATGGGTGGCTATTTGAGAAGGTAAGCGCATATGGATTTTACACAGTAAAAGTTGTTATGCAAGATACTTCCCATTCAGTATCTACTCCTACGTTGAAGAATAAATTTCTTAGACAAGGCCACGGAAATCGTGTTATATAGACCTTTCGACGCTGCTAAGTACTCTCTCGTGTTGAAGTTGTCCTAATTTGTTAACAAAACCTTCGTACCTGTAACATCCGATGCATTTAGAAAACTAAAGTTAATTTCTCTAGTCTTATCGAGACTAGAAGGAAATTTCTCTTAAAACGTCTATATAATTCAATTCAGAGTGGTAGAATACAGTTTCGGTCTAATAGTTTTTATCTACAATCGTTGCGCAATGACCATTGTTGATGCAACGACGTCTAGGTCTCAACGCCATTTGATTCTCTACGGAGTTTTGCGAGTGGCGGTTTTGTCGACACTAGTTTCGATAATGTAGGTTATCGGTTTAATATTGTTTTTTATACTTTACTTTTACACCGTTTTGAATCTCGCTACCAATTTCAATGTCACGCATAGATTATACACACTTATTCGGACTCGGTGTTCTCTTTACACCCTTGTTGCGAGTTGCAGTGCATAAAAGTTGATAGAAATTTACACTATACCTACAGGGTGTTAAAAAGGGGTCCAATAAGACTTTGGGAAGTGAAAACGTTCACGCTAGACAAATTTAGAAAGCATAGCTTAACAAATTGTTTTGTTTTTTTTTTGAGTTGCAACGACGAGATTTTAATATATTTCTGCTTAAAGTGATGTTATAGGCACTTTCATCTCCCGTAGTACTATTGGAGCCTATTGAATCACTTAGTAGAGCATTCTTATTTATTGCTTCTTTTCAAAATGATGTTTTATCTCATCCGATTCTTACTGATTGTAAAAAACTTATTAAAAATATATCATCAAACCTCTGTATTAACTTAATAATTGAGAAGCCAGAAAAAGTAGAATTTTTCATTCTATTAAAATAGTTTATAAAATTTTGTAAAAAAAAACTTGTACTTACTGGGATGCAATCATTAAATGTTTTAACAATCGTCTTAATAAAAAATTACGTTGTCATTAATTATTACATATCACAATTATATTTTCTTACTTTTTTTGCATGACTATGTTCTAGCTACCAGTTTCAGTACGTAAGTACTAATGTCGTACTAATTAATTAATATCTTTGTGTATGGTATGATCATTCCTAGCATTTAATTTTTGCATGAGTAACTCAAACCAGACGATCACATCGATTAAGTAATCTCAAACCAAGGAATTCTTTGTGCTATGACCGAGAAAAACTTTTATAGAAATTCGTTCTACCCTGGGACTTTCTGACCAAGCGACCAAAGAAATCAGATAGCTCAAACATGTCAATTATATTTTTATATCTGTGCAACTGCAGCAATATGGTTGATCATTAATCACATTAGTACGGTAACGTTTAGACAAATTCATGCATAAAAACTTTTATAAGGAAAACAGACCGTGACATACTTCCACCAGGTCAAGGTCATTTCCTTAAACTCCACCATAAGCTTGCTTTATAAATCACCTACAAATTCCATAGAAAGGGCACAGAAATATTCTTAGCACATTTATTAGCTTCACTCTCGACATAAGCAACGCATCGCTCACTTTTTTAAAACGAACTGTCCAAGCTTTACCACATTTCAAGCTTTGCCACATTCAATTTTATGAAATATATATTATTCGTCGAAATTACATATTTAACGTCAACATTTTAAAACTTGCCTTTAACCGTCCACGTTTGTAAAACACCACTACACTTTCACAATTAATATTTAAATAATTATAATTACTAAAAATTCTAAAGAAATTCATTTGATCCATTGACAGATTATTGAATAAGAAAATCATCCATTTCAATAACGACACCCTGCTTCTCAATCGTGCACAGCACTTCTCTAAGAGTCATCGAACTGATTTTATCCGGTTCGTACCAGCGTAGACTGGATTTTTGTAGTTTGCACTAGCGCCGCCCGCGTTTCTGCTTGCGCGGGCGCACAGCTACGTGCAACGCGCGTCCTCACACGGGCGTCTCGTGGTCTGTTTCCTCTATTCGGCCGAGCCGCCATGCGTTCGGGTCTGATGCTGGAGACAGATCACTTGTTAGTTATCTATAAGATTAATATGGTTATAATACTAGCTATGGTAAGCCAACAAAGTCTATAAATCCTTAGATTTATAAATGTAACATATGGTATCGATACCAAATCATGATTAAAGGCCTGCAGGCTTACCACGTAAGGCGGAAGATAGTCTGGTAGACATTAATATTCAGTCTTTGAGGTGACGTGTTGCCATTGAACGACTATTTCTACTAGTTATCTAGAATTAGTAGTATTATATAGAATTAGTGCTACTAATTGTCACAACACAATTAACAGAATATAAAAGTAACTGTTAACATTGACCTATGGGAATGTGAGGCGCAAATTAGTTAAATCCTGTACTCTAGCATTCTTTCCCCTCTCGGAAAAGTATAAGCAATAAACATAATATATATTTAGGAAATGAAACTATTCTATTCCGGATTTAAATCGCGTATATTTGTTTTTTCAAACAAACCGACGTTTCGGGCCTTTTACAGGTCCCATGGTCATGGTTGACTGAGGTGGTACAGACTTCAACCAGTTATGTCTAATATTGATGCAAACCACCCCATTTTTTTTCACTGTAGTTACAATAGTTATTAATTAAATACCTTATTTTTAACTTTACAAAGAAAACATTCCAATTTACGCTACCTTGCTTGTTCATTTGCATGTCTTTCGCCTTACACGTTAAAAGTTTTACTATTATGTATACTTGTTTGGCTTACCTTAGACGAATTTATTAGACTAATGTTCCTTATCACACAGTATTTTATATAATAATTGAGTAATTTCTATTTTTTTCACTTTACGTTTGTCTGGTAAACCCTCAATAAACCTATAGCAATTGTAAGCTCAAAGCTTTTGAATGTCACATCACGTAAACAAATTGTGTCGTTCATGTGTTTTCCCATAAAATGCGTGTTTGTGTTTCGCTGCAAATGCTTATTTTTCCACCTTTTCCAAACTGTTTTAAACATTAAAAAATGTCTTCTCCCATAAAGAGTTTCTTAATTGTTTTTCATTGCACCAATTACCAAAGTGAACTAGCGAAGTGTGATGTGACACATTGATGATGCTAATGTGAAAAATGTGTAAATTGTAGAAGTTTAAAACATGATATTATTGCCGTTATTGTAAATTGTAATACAAAAGAAGATGATGCTATAAAAATAAATCGTTCACATTCTTCTGCCATGAGATTACAGTATTCGAGATTATAGTAGCCGCTAACGATCGCGTAATATACTTCGCAAATTTCTATGGCAAATTGTACAGCGCCTCTCTAGCGGTCTCTAGACGAACATTTTGTTTATAAACATTTACGCGGTCGCTACCAACTACTTTTACTCTAAACTCATGGTAGAGGTATTGACTCCACCGTGACATTGCTGACATATCATAAGTTCATAGGGACAGTTGTGGCTAGCGATCTCGTAGATAAATAATTTATTTTGAGAAATTGTAGAGTGCTACTAACAATAACAAGAAACATTTTGTATACATATTTTACACGGCCGCTAGCGACAACTGTCGGTGTAAACTGTGGTAGAGGCATAGGAAAACACACACACTTCCAAATAATGGAAATAGTGCTTTTGTGGTGATGTCAAAGATATGTGTCGTGATATGTGATGTGCTTTTTATATTTAATACAGTGTCTTCGTTAAGGACACATGTAACATGAGTATATAGGTAATGTTGGTGCTACCTATTAAATCATAATACCATCATTGCTTTAAACTTTCGTAACTAAGAGGACAAGTCTGAATTACAAATAAAGTACAATTGTAAAAGTCATTCTATAAAAAAATTGGTAAATTAATATCAAGTGAGCATGAAAATGATTGGTGCGTTCGAAATGTTCAACACTTTGTCACACAAGGTGCGCTTTTAATTACCACTGTGCCTCTACCATGGGATTGTAGAGGTGACAGTTATCGCCTTGTTTGTATAAATCTGAGGTTATCGCTGACGACCGCGTAAAATATTTTTATGTGAAATGTTGTTTATTCTTAGGACTGCTAGAGGCGCTGCATAATTTGCTATAGAAAATTGTGAAGTAATTTACGCGATAACTATCACAGTAATCTCGTGGTGGAGGCACTGTTCGTTTAAAAACAACTGAAAGTGTTGTTTAAAATCATCGTTCCAATATTCCATCGTTCTGACGGTACCTGTTTATAATTCAGACTTTCCCTATTGGTTAAGTGTCATTATTAATGTATACATTAACAAACAGTGTAGTGCAACATAAAAATGAAAACAAAATATTACCTTTCAAAACTGTCGGTCTTCCAAACATGCTCTAAGGATTGTAAAGGGGACAGGGCAAGGTTGAAGGTAGTTATTTATAAAGCTTATTTATTTATTTAAACTTAAAAGTTAAACGGTAACAACTATTTAAAGCGGTATCTAAGATATACGTTTGAACATCACATGCGAATACTTGAAGTAAGACAGGACTGGGATCGTAAGGAAAATCTTTCAAATACACTCGTGCTAAGTTGGAGAATTTAACGCATTTCTACGTTGTTGAAATGTTTGTGACGCCCCTGCCAGCCCCACATATCTACACTCATTTTACTTACTTTTAGTAAATGTTAAATGACTATATATTTAACATTTACTAAAAGTATATTCAATCGAAATAACCAGTATTTTGTATGTCAAGTTAAAAAAAAAAGGAAATTGCTGCCTTTAAATAAGTTTTCATCTAAGGTCGCATCCAGGAGACTGATTGACAGATGCACATTTCCCCTTTAGGTAGAGAAACTTATTTTATGACGGAAATATTAAAATGGAACGCTTAAATAAGAGCTGACCCGCGGCACCCATTACACCAACACGTGCCGGTAATCCAGATGCTAGAAGTATACCCTCTGGATGGGGAAACTTCCCCACGACATCACTCATCCCGCTATCAGAGCACCTCTCTCCTGGGCATGATCTACCTTGGCAAACTTGGAAGTCTCTAAATAGGCTGCGGATCCCAGTCGGTCGAAATAAGGAGTGCTTACAGGTGGGGTTATACTTCGGAGAGCGCATGTATGTGGTATTTCTCCCCGGACAATGGCACATCTTTTGACCTGCCCTGCGTGTTCATACACCTGCACACAAGGGACTTGTACAACACCACTGATAATGCTGTCTCAGTTGCTATGTACTGGTCCTCACAGATATAAACGTCAGAGTCGACACGCCAAGAAGAAGATGGAAGTATTTGCCAGGCTTCTGGTTGTCGGAGACTAAGGTGTAACCCGCCATGTTGTGGAATTTTGAAGAAATAACACTCATTACATGTGGACATTGAATTAGAGCAGGATTCAGTAGTAACTTGTATATTTGTAAATGATGTAAGATCTAGTGAAAGATTTTTCTTTAGATTCTGGTCAATCTGTTGTACTTAACTCATATATTTATTACAACCATAAAATTTAAGGGGTGGCTAAAGATGGTAAACAACGGAATAAAATTTTATTTTTCATAAATTTAGTTTATATTACGAATATTCTTTTAGAAAATAGCTTTGTGAGATTCTCAAAACTGTTTCACACAAACTAGCTCCCTGACACATGTCGTAAATTTTTACCCGACTACACTGAATCGAAAAGGAGGGTCATGTATTTCACATTGTTATTTAATTTTTGTATAACTTTTGAATTGTAATTACTGTTACTGTTCATATTTTGTGCTCACAGCCAAAGTTTATGTAATTTTTTATTTAAAGGTAAAAAGCATGCGAGTAGATAATGCAATATAGAGTTTAGTTTCTACTAAATAAAGTAGTAACTTCAACCATCCCTTAAATTTTACGTCAAATGTAAATATCACGTAAAGTACATATATAATTAAAGAGGTCATATGCACAATAAAGACTAGGCATACATATTTACACATGCATCACGATATTAGTATCCATAAAATACACATACATATTATGCTCTAACCTTAATTTATTAAGTTAAATTATGTCTGTAAAACCCTCAACACATATAGGAGAATTATGTAAATATAATAATTGATAATAGTATAAGTAATGTTGATATGTGTTTTAAACCTATAATTGATTTTATTATAAATTCAAATGCTGGTTGGTACCTCGACAGAGATAAGAATCTGTATTAAATCAATGAAAATAAAAAATCTCACTAACTAGAGATGGGCTGCCGCTGCCGATAAACTTGATCGGCGTAAAATGGACGAGGCGAAAATAATTTTTATTTTAATCAAGACTACGAGTGTTCATTTTTATGTGAATGCCATTTAAAAACATGCTTATCGACTGTGTACTGGCAACCGGTACTATCTCAATTTTGACAATTTTACAGGACGAAGAAAAGAATTGTTTGCGTCATTTATATAGTATCTGGTTAGAAGTTAGTACAGAGTCAAGAGAACGTCAAGCTTGACACTTGAGATTTAAATCCAACTCTATGCCGCTTACGATAACAACGGTCCAAAGTTCAAAGTGTCAAGTGTCAAGCTTAGCGTGCTGTTGACTGTACAAAATGAATGAAGTCGATTCTACGCCAAAATTAAATGTATCTGAGATGGAATTCCTTGCAACGCTGTGGTGTATGGAATATTATAAAATGGTATTGAAAAGTGAAATCTTTAGAAAATTGAGATAGTACAGTCGTTATGTTACTTTTTAGAGTGCCCGAAAGGTGCCTCACCGCACGACCTACCATTTCTTTCCTTATATTTACTTATCCTTATTCTGGCGCACCACGGACAATAATCGGCGTGTACTCTACGCTGATCGGCAAATTCTTTTAAAATGATGGTAAGCATTATAATGTATGCCATCGATATGATAAAAAGAAGAAACATTCTTCAAACCGATTTTTTACGAACAGTACCAACATATCCCGCTATACTACAAGTTCAAGTGTAAAAAACGTTGCAAATTAATTCAAAGGTTGATGAAATATGCCACGCCGATTTCACGCCGATCACGCCGCTATCAGTTGGAAAACCATCAATCAGACGCTG